TTTCTACCAGTCCTTCGTCAGCTTAAACGAAATTGGGCGAATACATCTTATAAAATTTGAGTGGTTACAGTTTTTATCAAAACGCTGATTAATGGAATAGTCAGAGCATAAAGGTTTAATTATATCATCATCTTCGGGCACATTTGGTTGTATATACACGGTGCTAGGGCGTGCCTAGAATGAAGAAATGCCAGTCTTAATGTAGATGCGCAAAATGAGTTATCCAAATGTGAAAAATGACTTTTTGTAAATTATCCTAAAAAATTTATTTGGACCTCTTTATTCAAGACCTCAGCTATGCTCCGTTTTCCTGACATTGGCAAGAAAACCAAAATTGTTGGCGCATTCAATCCAATATATAGATTGCATCATGATATAAACCGAAGTGCTTGGGCCGCAGAAACCGATATCGCTCTATCTGGTATGAGAAAGTATTTTTTATGAACTAGCTGAGCAACCAGAAGGCCTGCAAATTGTCGGCTAGCGAATGGAAGTAGTCAGCCTTAAAGCCACGTTCATGGCTTCCTTCACAACAAAACCAGCCCTGCTAAAGTGCCATGCTCCGCCCTATCCAAAACGTCTTGGAGGTTGTGTCTCAGCCATTTTCGCCTGCCATAAGCCCACCTCGCAGGTTTTCTTCCGCCACTCCATTCTCACATTTTACCGGCAACAAGCCGCCCACAAACAAAGAAACATCCCCATGCCCAGTTTGCCTCAATCCCAGGCACAGGTAAATCCAAGTGAAGTTGGGCGGAAAAAATCCAATCATGCTGAGTTCTGTTTCCGCATCAGCAACGAAATTCAATCAAGACGAGCTTGGATTGTCCAAGCTGCCTTCAAGACAATTACGCATTGGCTATCCAAATCCAGAGGATCGTCGATTATGGAGACCTTAATGTTGGTGTTTTGTTAGATTCCGAAAACTGGGAAAGAGTCCTTTGATAGAAAGCGACAGGAAATGTGCACGAGGTTGTTTCGTCTTTCGTTGAATTCTTAAATATGCCAAATGCTATAATTATTGCAGTTTTTTGGCCCACACGACCCGACATCATAAATATTGAATGTGCTCGGCCGTGTGTTTAGAACAGCTGCATCCAGACTCCAATTCAGCTCATCTCGGTCAAGTAGTGGGTGCATATCATCTATTTATAACATAAGTCATAACCACATTTTCTATAACATTCCTTCGAGTTGAAGAGGGAATAATACATTATTAATAATTAACTAGTCATTTCATTTCCAAACCATGATCTAGGAAATGTAGACAACAATGTTCCAACTGTGATACAGGTGTTTTATCAATCAACGAAAATATCTTCAGATCTTTGAAAAGTTAGAAAACCCGAAAATTCCAGGTCAGCTTAGCCCCAGTAAGGCATGAATATGACTTGGTAAGATTAGCGCTCAAAACTGTAATTCTTGCTGTCAAATAATTCCGAATAACAGACCTTTAAAATTATTTTTATCTTCCCACTACAACGTTGAAGAGGAATTTCAATATGCTTTTGCATTAAAAACTAAATTTCTGTATTTCTGTTGCGATGCAACAAGCATTCCAAATGCATAAACTACTCTCCCACTGAGTGTCTCTGACCTTTTAGGAAGGCGTGAATATGAATTAGGTGCGGGCCTAGTGCAAGGCTATAATATCTGTATTCACACTATTTCCTTAAAAGTAATTGAAGTTTTCATTGAATTTTACATGGCTTTGCTTCACGGAAGTTATTCTCATCCAAACACATGCGTACCCGGGTTTCATCAGCACCCCCAGAGTATAATATCTACACCTTAACCGCTACACCACATTGCCACAAGTGTCCCTGAGTCACAGGGTAGAAGTTAATTTCAAGGAAGTCCAGGTCTTTCCCATATCAAATTTCTATGTTGGAATTATGGATGAAGAAAATCTTACTTTAATATAACAATCGACTACAGAGCTTACTTAAAATTTATAAGCAGGTTTTTAAAATTATTAATAATTCCTATTTGTTTACCCATAATTATATGACTAGTTATTATGAGATCCAATTATAGTCACGATAACCAGCTTATAAACAAAAATAAGTAACATAGTTGATTGATATATCAAATACAACTTTGCTTCATCAAAAATCACACCACAGAACGTGATATGTTGACAGGTCTTGCCTTCCCTGAAATCCACATGTGCTCTGTAGCCCAGGAGCACTAATGGGAGTGTGGCGTAGAGGTTAACGCATCGAGCTTGCGAGCTGCACTATCATGGCTCGAGTCCTGCTAGGGATGTTGATGAGAACAATTGAGGTGAAGTCGAAAGTGCAGTCTATTTCAACCAGGATTAGAATAGTTTTTGGAAAAACCATGCTATATCACATTCAATGGAAAAGTAAGATCTATTAATGTGATTGTGAGTAATATATGATGTATAGTAATCTTTAAAATCTACTTTATGCGAAAAATAGGATAGAAGTGCTCTGACCTCGTTTTCGCAACTTAGTCGTGCTATCAGTTAGACTTAGTTGGACGCAACTTGTCCGATGTCCTCTGCTATATTAGCTATCATAATTTCCAGCGTTGGATCGCTTACTTGGTATATTCCCAGACGCCTCGACAGCATCATAGTCGGCATCGTCCGTGAGTCCTGCCATTCCCAGCACCACAAATTGTCTTCCTTGCACCAATGTCTGTGAATATTCCAGGTCCACGGTCCAACGCTAGGAATTTTAATAAGTATGATAGCAGGGACTTCGGACAACGTGCGTTGAACTAGGTCCTTCTGACACAATGCCATACAACTTCTATGCATCTAAAGGAGACTGCGACAAAAATAGGGGCTACGAAAAATATGATAATTGAGCTCAACTTTACCCATTTTTTCCTGCTTCCTGAGGGTTAGTGTATGAAACTTTAAAGCAAGTTTGTTTGTCTAGCTATTGACTTGACAGTATTTTGGTTACGGAAAGATTTCATAAATGAATTAGTATTATCTTCCATTCAGACAAACGAACTTCACACGATAACTTTTGCTATTTGACCAAATTAATATGTGAAATTGGATATTTTAGGACAAAATTGACTATGAACACACATTTTTCCATGTCTTTTTAAATAGTTTGACTTTAAAGTGGTCCACTTAACCGAAAAAATGACGCTTCAATAAGAGATGTAGTCACCTGAAATCCACATGTGCTCTGTAGCCCAGGAGCACTAATGGGAGTGTGGCGTAGAGGTTAACGCATCGAGCTTGCGAGCTGCACTATCATGGCTCGAGTCCTGCTAGGGATGTTGATGAGACCAATTCAGGTGAATTCGAAAGTGCAGTCCATTTTAACCCGGCTTTTGGAAAAACAATGCTATATCACATTCAATGGTAAAGTAAGGTCTATTAATGTGATTGTGAGTAAATTCATCGCTAGCTAGGATGAATACATTATATATATATATATATACATCCTCCGTCGTTTCATGTGAAAATGGGCTAAGCTTTCGTCCAGCAGATGACAGATTTCATCTAAGCTGGAATTCATTCTCGAAAAGTCTCACGCTAGCACTAAGTCAAGAAGTGTTAAGGTAAGACTTTACAAGAATGAGTTCTAGCTTTGATGAAGCCGATTCTATGCTGGACGAAAGCTCCGCCCATTTTCATCCGAAAGGACGGAGGATATCTCCTGGACTACGCCAACATGAACGTTGTATTAAAGCCAAACGGCTGCAGTACAACGGGAATCGGCCGTCCTCTTCTGGTGAGATTGGCCTTTGAAGCTCTTATTCATACACTTTCATACGAAGTGAAAATCTCTCCCACAATGTTATCTCAGGAGATTCATAAAAACCTCAAGTAATACTTGAGGGTCGTTTGATTTCTTAGCTTCATAAATGAAATATCGCCAATGGAGAGAAAAGGGCCTTGCCTTTCTAATGATCAAAACTTTATAAAACTGCAGAGATGTGTCTTTCTATCTGCTAGGAATGTGGAGCCGATATCACCCAGTTTTTGCCGGCACTTCAAGTGGAATTTTGCATGCATTAAAAAGGCGCCATCAATGGTTAATAAAATCAGTTTGCGGGCATCTAGAGACAAACACTTGACCTCAAGACCCTATCACCAAATATTTACATTGCACACATGATTTCGGGTCAGGGTAAATTAATATCAAGTTTTATATTTACTTATACTTCATTGGATCGCTATTAAACTGTAAATTACGGTCAATATTAGCACGATGTTTAGTGGAAGGCTTTAATTTGCTATTTGTGTATTTTTTGGGAATGTCATGCGTATATGACGAATTCTCAGCATAATAAATTTCTGCCGAATTTGATAATACATTTTTCTTTGGATATCCACAACCCATTTGAGCTACTTATGTATAATGTGGCATAAGTCTATGCTAGTTAAAAGCTGCATTTAGCTACAGATACGAAAGTTTCGAGTGGAAACACAATGGAATCCATCAACAACTTACGTCCTCCACCCATGACTCCTGAAGTAGCGTCTTATCAGGCCTTGAAATAAAAAAGCATTCTGCCTGCCCTCTTAAAAATTTGGCAGCTTTCTGGCTATAGGGTTATTATGTTTTAAATTCTTTTGTTTTACCATATTTAGCATATTATTATCAGCATGCAAATCGACAAATATAACTAAAGTCTAGATAGTAATCAGAAGTTTGTGGTTTAACTTCAGGCTAATATAACCCTCATTCAGTAATTTACCGCATTTCTGCTTCGTTTTTTTCTCTCTCCAGGCCATAAGCATCACACAAAGTGGGTCACCTGAGGAGAAGCTGGAATTGGCCTTCAAGTTATATGATATCGATAGGAATGGCACCATTGAGGAGTCCGAAATGACCCAAATAATCCGGGTAAGCTGTCCGTTTGGAATGCTTTGCGTTTTTTTAGACCTAAACACACCTGTAGAGGTATCCGTCAGATATTCAAACTTTTCGGAGGATAGACATTGTATTAATTGTCTACAGGCTCCGTAGTCTTGACTTGGACTCTCTACATGTTTATGTCCACAGCCCAGCCGCAAGAAGTTGTCCAAGAATGTGTGTCAGCAATGCAGCTAACCGACAGTCTCAATAAGAAAACTTCAAAAGAAAATTGTATTTATGCCGGTTGGCACATTTGGCATTTAAAACAAAAATGCTTGTAATAGTGATTAAGGCTGCTAAATATTCAAGTAGGAATGATGCAGTACACTGATTGTTATCTCCAAGAAGTGAAAACTCTAGAAAGTAGTTAACTAACAATTGCGATAAGTTGGGCTTACAGAAAAGGAAGAAGAAGTAATTGGCGCAAAATTCTAAAAATCAGATTATTTATATCATCGATCAAATAACTCACCGGCGAGAAGCAATAGCCAAGGATCAATGTAATGTAATAAGATTGAAATGATCCATTACCTTTTTGGCTAGTTTTTACTTTTAACCTATCCTGAATCCCAAAGTGAAACTAAAAGACTGGAAGATGTGATGTTGAAGTTGTATAAAGATCAGAAGATGTATAATGATGTAAGATGTAGTTAATTGTGATATAGCTAAAGTGTGTACGTGTATTTCTGATGCGGATGGATGAGCATGAGGAATGTGGGGAAAGATGTTTGAACTGGACAGCGAAGACAGCTTTCTGGAATGATGCATCCAATCCCAAAAAGACTTCAATGAATTGGATATTGCGGAGGCCCAACACGAGCATGGGGCGTTGACTTGAAGTGACTCCCGCGACAAAAGCACTCTCCTTCTGCGGTAAAAGTCTGACCCTGTATTTGCAGACTCGACGAATCAGTCGCTGGAAGACCTAACCCGGAGCAGAGACGCTGGCCGATCGCTGCTCTCCTTACGCGGAGGTCAAATTTTACATGTGCATTGGCCGATACAGCAGAGAGAAAGAATGGTGTACGTATACGCACCACATATTAGAGTTGGTATAAAG